TGAGAGCCTCATCCACTGTCCATTGAAGTCAAGTATTCCCATCAGCCTCTGCGGGGAGCTTTGGATCAGGCCCCACGTTGCAGGCACATAAGCTGTAATGTTCCTGTCTTCCCTTTTGTGCTGCTAGTAACCAAGAAGCAGCACAACCCTGATATTTAGCTTTTAAAGCATGGTTAGCCTAATCAAACCTGCCTCCGCCCGTGGGCTGTGACCCTATCCATCCAGTGGACTGAAGCTCCATATTGGGAATGTTTATTTGTTAAAGCATCCTTGCTTCCCCTCAGTGGGACCTCTGGCTGTCCAACAGATGCAGTCACTCTCTGGGTAATCAATGCGGCTTTTCTAAGCTTTTTCCCCTATTGCAGTGACAGTTCACTGCCTCTCAGGGTTTCTGTCTGTGTGATGCAAGATTGGGCTTTTTGTTGTTGTTGGTTTTTTTTAACTTTGAGGCTATTAAATGCAGTATACAAATTGCCTTCGCCACTCACCATTCGCTTCCGGCCCTGCCCAAAGAGCCTCCGATCTCGCAGAAGTAGTGACCATTAGAGAGCTAATTATTTCTGCTTGCCTATCTCATTGCTGTTTCTCCCCTGGCAATTCTGTTCTGTTTGTTCATAATTTTCCAAGCCCATAATTCTCAGGGGCTCCTGCCTGCCTCTTGTATCTTTTTTTAAGTAGGAGTTGTGTTCAGGTCTGGGGCAAAGGCTAGAATCTTCTCCCAACACTCCTCTTTCTAGTCATCTGGAAAATGCAGCAGCATTGTACATCACCGGCTAAGAGCACACTACAGTACTGCTACTGATTCATAGATTTTAAGGCCAGAAGGGAGCATTAGATTATCTAGGGCAGGGGTGGACAAACTTTTTGGCCCAAGGGCCACATTTGGGAATAGAAATTGTGTGGCGGGCCATGAATGCTCACAAAATTGGGGCTGGGGTGCAGGCTCTGGTTGGGGGTGCGGACTCCAGGGTGGGACCAGAAATGAGGAGTTCAGGGTGTGGGAGGGGGCTTTGGGCAGGGGAGTGGGGTGTGGGGGCTCTGGCTGGGGGTGTGGGCTCTGGGGTGGGGGTGGGGATGAGGAGTTTGGGGTGTAGGAGGGTGCTCCGGGCAGGGATTCAGAGGGTGGGAGGGGGATCAGGGCTGGGGCAGGGGGTTGGGGCGTGGGAAGGGGTGCAGGCTCTGGGGTGGGGCTGGGAATGAGGGGTTGGGGGTTCAGGAGGGTGCTCTGGGCTGGGATGGAGGGGTTTGAAGGGTGGGAGGGGGATCAGGGCTGGGTGTTGGGGCGCAGGGAGAGGCTCAGGGATGCAGGCTCCAGGCGGCGCTTACCTCAAGCAGCTCCCGCAAGCAGCGACACGCCCCTTCTCCGGCTCCTACGTGAGGCACAACCTGGCGATTCTGCGTGCTGCCTCGTCCGCAGACACCGCCCCTGCAGCTCCCGTTGGCTGCAGTTCCCAGCCAATGGGAGCTGCAGGGGTGGCACTTGGGGTGGGAGCAGCGTGCAGAATGGAGGCCTGTGGTTGCCCCTACGCATAGGAGGTGGAGGAGGGCCATACCGCTGCTTCCGGGAGCCAGGTGGAGCGATCCCCGACCCTGTTCCTTGGCTGGAGCTCCAGAGCAGGGCAAGCCTCAGACCCTGCTCCCCAGTGGGAGCTCGAGGGCTGGATTAAAACGGCTGCTGGGCTGGATCTGGCCCACGGGCAGTAGTTTGCCCACCCTTGATCTAGGCTGACCTCCTGTCTAGCACAGGCCAAAGCATTTCATCCAGCCATTCATGGATGGAGCCAGTAACTTGTGTCTGACTAAGCAGATCTTCCAGAAAGACATCTAGTCTTGATCGGAAAACCATTGGTTTGCTCCAAGGGTTAATCACCCTCACTGTTAAAAATGTGTGCCTTGTTTACTACTGTCAATTGAAGCTGAATTGTTTAGGCCCATACTGTAGAGTATTCTAATAAAAAAGGGAACGGATCAAACATTTGCTAAGGGCTCAGTGGGACACTCCATAAAAGGAGTTGCTAACCCAAGCCATGCGTTGTTCTATTAGTGATCCTTGCCAAAGTAAATTTCATGAGAGCTCTGAAGTCCTTTTGGTTCTTCAATTCAAGGGGCCGGCTTGCCTTGTCATCGATCCCAGTATTGGGAGAGAGGTTCTGGAGACCTATGTTGCTTTTCCTTCTCTGACCCCTAGCAGCACCATTTTACAATTTGGCCTGCTGAGTTTAGCTGTCAGCACCCTCTGTCTCCAAATAACGGCAAGAGGCACATCCCGGGCTTACAGATCAAACAGCCCTGGCCAAAGGAACTTTCTGTGAAGATGAGGGGAGGCAGGAAGGTGCTGCAGCTGGAGTATAGGACTGGGAGCTAGGAGAGCTGCGTTTTTATAACTAGCTCTGCCTGGTCTGCTGTGTGACTTGGGGCAAATCAATTCACTTTTCTGTGCCTCAGTTTCCCCATCTATAAACTGGCTTGGCAATTTGGGTTTTTCATGGCAGCACAGAGCACTAACTACAGAGGTACCAAGCCAGATAGCACGTGACTTTTAAATGAGAAATTCAGATGGGTCCAAACTGAAACACTGGATCTAAACCCTGCCCCCCAAACCTTGGGGCAGTTTCCTGTCCACACCCAGGTCTGACCACTATCACTCCGGCTGCCACCTGAATGGGCTGACCCAAACCCAGAATTGTAACACCATCCAAACTTTGAGACAGGTCAGATCAGACCCCAACCCTGTTACAACTTGGGTCCTTCTCTACGAGTAAAGATCATTCTCATTTAGTGCTTCCGAAGGGATCGGGATCTTCATAGCGCTGCGAACACTTTAAGGGCTGTGATCTGCCCCCGTTACTTATGCTGAAACTCCAGGCTCCTGTTGAAATCAGCGCAGCTACAAGGTGCTGTTCAACATGGGTAAGGGGAATGGTTGTGTCTTCGGCTCTTCACATCGTTATCGCTGTGTAAACAAACCACATAAGTGCAGTTGGAGCTCCAGTAATTGTGTTTACTTAATATACACAACCATGCTAGGGCTAGCTACATCCATGCGGATTGACTTGTG